AGAGGAAAAAAAAAAAAAATAAAAAAAAAAAAAAAAAAAAAAAAACAAAAAAAATATAAAAAAAAAAAAAAAATTTTTTTTTTTAAAAAAAAAAAAAAAAAAAAAAAAAGCTCATTAAAAAAAAAAAAAATATAATAATAAAAAATAAAAAAAAAAAATATATAAACAAGGATTATGAAGGGAATAAAAACTATTTATATGAAATGGCATGTAATGGGCGATTTTTTTTTTTTTCTAATGGGCGTGATCGTCTTTTTGCTAATTTTCTCCCTCTAGGTAGTTGGTGTGATGGTTTGTGTGTGTGTATGTAATTTCTTCTCTGGCTGTAAACGATATCTACATGTGTACATGGTTGCGTTCTATGACTAGCCGCAACGCGTAGATCAGTAAACGAAATCCATCGAGTCCTCTTTGTCACTGTTGTTCGCCTCCTCTTCCGTTCCCAATCTTTGCATTATGGAAGCATGATCCTAAAGATTTGAGGGAAAAAAAAAAAAAAAAAATGACGGCAGGGTTGAAAGATTTCGCACGAATCAATCGCGAATACTTTAGGATGCGGTGATGAGTGTTACCTTTTCGTGCATTTTACAATGAATAACATAATATATTTTACCATCGATATTAATTCCTTTCAACTGGTTCCCGTGAAGGTCGCCGCAAGAAACATGAAAGAACTGGCGGATTGATATATCGAGGAATGCACAAATACAAATTGGTTAAATGTCAAATGCGAACACGTGAAACGGTCCTTGGAAGGCATACCTTGGAACAACCTTCCTGTTGGCATTTCACGCACGCGCCCATCTTGGTGTGACAAATTTGGCATTCCTGTTAACAAATTCGTTTTCACATTCGATTCAAATTACTCAAGTTATTTTATGCAATTTTCTTGTGGTCATGTATTTCTTGCTGCGTCATACATACGGTACATAAAGAGTGCATGCAACTCACCGTCTCGAATCTGAATTTGGGTATTGGTTCTTTCTCAACAATTTTGCAATTGTTGTCCGTTCCATCCGAGCTGGCTATCTCGGTTTCGGGTACAAACATCGCGCACAGACTGTTAACATCGAAGATGAATCATGTTTGATCAAGGAAGATACATGAGTTCCGAGTGTACGACGGATCGACGACCGCAAGTATTTGTCCTCGCGAAATTTCACACATCACTTACCCGTGAGCATAAAGGTAGTAATTAGTTGTGCTAAGCGTCAACGGTGTTATGGCATTCAGCGTGTAGCCACCAAAAGGCATTTCCGTTACACTCCATCCAGTAAAGCTCACATTAACGTTTGACAGAGTTAGATTTGATATTGATATCGGAGTGAATGACAACACTGACCCCGATGATAGGAAGAATATTTTCAAATAATAAGCGTCGGTGGTGTTTTGGACGGTTTGGGACACTGAAACTGTGCACACATGACCAACACCAACAAAGGCTATATCACAAAAAACGGTCCGAAATGTTAGATTGGGAATGGGTGTTTGATAGAGGATATACGAGTTGCCGGTGATATTTTGACCGTATGATAAAAAGAAAGCATACACTCCGCCGAGTGTATTGAATATGCCGGTGTTGTTGTTTCCGGTGGAAGCTGATGAGTTGGCGTACACTATGGCATACCCCTGATCAACGGTCGAGAATACGTTAACAGAGAAACTGGAGAAATTGGGCACCGTAAAAGAGTCTTGTGACAGCAAAGATAGCTGCCCTGAATTATCCCTATTTAAATAAATGGTTTGCCGTTAAAAAAATTAAAGTCATTTTGATAGTGAAAAAGAAAAGGTAGAAGAAGGAGACAAAGATTACATACACGACGTATTGCTGCCATATGGCGTTGGAAGTGGTTATGGTCGAAAATCTAAGAAAACCCATTGCCGGATTTATATTTAAGTTGATTGAGTAATTTGGACTCCAATGACCGTCCGGAGCCACGTAGGATTTACCATATTTCAATTTGCTAACAAATAAAAGAAATTGGTTATTATTAGAAAAAAAAAATTTTATAAAATAAAAATAAAAATTTTTTCTTTATAAGAAAAAAAAAAAAAACCATATCTAACCTATAAATATTACCGGACCAGTCTATCACCATTCCCCAATCCTCGTAAGTTTTAACATCGGAGGAATTCGTCATATTCACATAATTTACTAGGATGAAAGGACTTTGCAAGGGAAATACACTAATGGGATTCGTAGTAATTCCGAGGTCGCTAACAAATGCAAAGAAATTTACGGGATCTAGTCCCAAATTTGTATTATTTAGATTAATCTCCGTGACCGTTCCATTTAAGTCGATAATCCTGAGAAATAACGATTGTTCTAAACAGGCGCCCGATTCATTTAATAAAGCAGAAAATCGTTGTGCGCAGGTATTGTCAGGATTCCTTCGTATGAGATGGACAAGAACCGTCCCGTCTTCATAAGTTGCGAGCTTATTTATGCGAGGTATTGAGTTTGAAAATTCAGTGTGGCTGGGATTCTCTGTGTAGGTAAAGTTTTGTGGAGCAGATTCCGCGGGTACCACGAACAGGCAAAAGCATGTTAAAATCAAGCATGGTATAATAAAATTAAAAGAGTAGGGCAATTTCATCGCAGAAATTCGATCACTTTAACGAAGAAAAAAAAAAAAAAGCGGAATTTACGTCAGTGTGAGAAAAGAACGCCTATTTAAACATTATGCACGACGCTAAATTTGTCAAGGTATGAAACGCCAAGATAAAGAATTTTGCAACAGTCCCGATATTGTGAAATAAATATTAAGAGTATTTTTAGAATAAAGTACCAATCTGTACTTAATACTTTACTTTTTCAGGAAGAATTCTCGATCAATCGATTCTACCATCGTTTCCATAGATGGGGTGTCGTTTAGTTTCACATACGGACTTACGCATGTATTTATCTCTTTCCGTTTCATTGAGGAAGGAAATCATTGGTTCCAACGAAATAGCAATTTAGGAACATATATATACATGTTATCGAAAAAAAAAATGTAAATGATCCAAGTTGAGATCGATACTATTACGTGTTATGGTTACATGTGCAGCAAGGCGTAAAGTCATTATCCGGGAGGTGCGATTTTAGATAATTGTGTTCAGAAAAAAAGAATTTTACAACCCTTATTGCACTACATGCGTAACAGTATTCATAGGGATTCTATTTTTAATGGCCATTGTGATCACAGATGGATCATGTTTTTAAAACCGGATTCATCTGAATTATTGGAATTTGAATTTATCACCACAGTAATTGTGTTAATTGCATAAATTGAGAATTTTCCAAAAAGCAAATTATTCTTACTCTTATGCCCGAAATTTTATTCGATCCACTTGATTTGTTTTTAACTTAATTAAAGTGCATATTAATACATTTTCAATGATATGTAAATAATTTTGAATTATACGTTAGGTATTTTTTTTTATGGGGAGGGGGGGGGAGGATTCCACCGGATCAACTACGTATAGTAATTTTTGCTAAATTCTTGATGCTCCCATCACCGATATCTCATCGGATGCACCGTTAATCCGTGACATTTGCAACAAACCGCCATCGTACTGCTTCCCTTCGAATCTAGATGAAATTTAGCGCCAAAACCATGGAAAACCCAAAAACAAACCAGATTTCTGGAACCATCATTCTTTCGGTCCCGGATTTCTTGGAAGTTGGAGTTCTGGAAAAAAAAAAAAAAAAGAACGACTCGATTGGGACGATGATAAGGTTCTCACGAACAAACATGTTAAATGATTAAAACCTACACAGAAATAGTAACAGTTGGGGCAACTCGTTCCGGTTTCGCGAAGGAAATTTCCGGTGGTCTTGAATCGCTCGGAGTGTTCACGTTATTTCGCACCGGATTAATGGTCGTACTTCCTTTCGCGATCACACTCCCTCCACCACCACCCGTGTCCCTGCTACCCCCTTCGCCAATGGTTCTTCCTTGAACAATCTGAAATTCCCCAGAAAACCTTTCCCCACTTCCATCGTTGATGGCCAGGATGTAAGTTCCGGGAGAAACGTTCACCCTCCATTGGAGCCTACGAATCGACAGGTCGAGGGAATCGTTAATATTTGTAGACTCTCCCGTGTTCTTGTTCTGGATGCGGAGAGAACCAAGGAGCATCGGCGTGGGGCCAGAAAGTTCCCAACTGATAAGAATATTTGCTCCTTGAGCGATCTTTCCGATGGGTGTGTTGATGACCACGTCTAAGGTGCAAAGAAGAAATGTCTCATTATGTTAGCGTAAGAACCAAGAATTTTAATTGATGAAGAAAAATAGTGAATCGTGATTGCCTGAATTGACAAATACGACGAGTGCGAACAGCACGAAAAAAATTCTTGCGAGGTAGGTAAGTCGCACCATCATGGTAGAAATGTTGCGGACGGACGGGTTTCCTTGAGAAATGAATTTTCCTAATCAAATCACAAAAAAAAAAGAGTGTCGAACTCTCAACACTACCATAAAGAATGAATTGGAATCAAATGGTCCTTTGGAAACCGGTGGAAATAAATAATGAGGAAACAACATTTAGTTGTTAATATATGAAATTCGGTTTATTTAATAAAGTTTCGAGTGTTCAGAATAGATAAAAGACTGATAAAACATCATTTCGTAGCCTCCGTGAGCGTATTTCAAGATGATTAATCAAACTATTATTAAGTTTAATATTCCCGATCAGATACGTAATCACCCGAGTTTGGATTCGAGCAAAAAAAATATATCCCAATGTTTAAGAAATTTTGAACTTATCACATGGTCATACAACTCAATTGCTCATTATATGAGTAGACTTTATAAAGAGGACAAAGAAATATGAAATAATAAAATTTTCCTCTAACAATGCCGCCAATCCATAACAACGAATCCAACGATGAATGTGCTGAATGTGCACTAAAGAATTTCTTCGTGCTTGAAATGACCACCCCGAATGGTCTCCTTAAATCTTGGCGAATGCAAGATGCAAATCGCGAGATTTGCAAATGAATTTTCTTTTTTAAAAAATGAAGAATCGTAACTCCTGCCACTAATGCACCGCCATCAAACAATTTCATTTCATAAAATATAACCTTATATTATTATTTTTTTGTTTTGTTTTGTTTAGATTTTTATTGTTATTATTGAAAAGAGTGGTTACATTGAAGTACGTACTGCGCATACTCAATAGAATCGGGGGGGTTTTTTTTTTTCACTCTCCTCTCTTCCTAGATCCATATGATGACACCTTTCCATCTACGTATTATTAGATTCGGGAGGATTCGGTCAATGAAAGTGAAGGCATCAGAGCAATAAAATTTTTAATATAACATACTTTTTGATATACATATATTTTGCAGTACATTAAGTCGATTTACAGCGATAAAATTCCATGACATATATTAATTAATGAATAACGTAAATTAACACCTCTAGCTAATAATACAATTCCCAATTTTTGGTGAAAGAAAAAAAAATAAAAAAAAAGGTAGAAAGGAAGAAAAATTTCATGCTTCTCTCAGTGCAATTGTCATTTGTTACTGCCGGAATTATTGGATTGTCCGCTGACTCTCATGATGTTATCCTTTTCCTCAAATTGTTCCTGCGTCAGTGTTGTCTGAAAATTTTGAGCGCCGGGGATGTCGCCATAAAGTGTTCCGTCGTCATTACTCTCGGATCCATCAATATTTTGCAATTCGACATTTGTTAATTCATCATTTCTCAATTCCTCGATATTTCTCATTTCACCATCAACAATAATTTCGCTCATCCTTTTGCCACTTCGACTATTCCTCTTACCACCAGATCTCCTTAGAAATCCCTTCTTTCCAGAAGTGTCGGGAGACAACGGATCATTTTTGTCCAAAGTGAGTGACGGGATCTGCAACGGATGGAGTCCGCCAAAATTATCGGGCGTGTCGTCCGTCGATGGTGAGGTATATTGGGATTTCCTTCGGTGACGGTAGCGGTGTGTTGCTTGGTACAGACGACCGATAATGTTGACGGTGAGAGTAAGGCAAGAAGATATCAGCAATAGTAGCGGGACTATATCGTAGGTCACAATGCGTGTGTAATAAAAGACCTAAGTGAGGGGTGGTGCACGTGAAAAATGTTGTGATGTCAGCATCAAACGCGCGCTTTGTTGTCTAGACAGTAACGCATGAGAAAATTTACCTGAATGGTGACTTGCGGAATATTCTTGATGAAAATGTTCAGACACGCTCCCCAAAATATCAAGGCCACGGCATCATCCGAGAATGGAGCTTGGAAGAATGACAGGCCAGCCAAATTTGACTGCAAAATCATCAAAGCCTCGATATCAGCTGCTGCAATGACGGTGAATATGGAGGCAATCTTTCCATTCTTGTAGAACCATTCGTAAAACTTTGATCTGATGTTTTCCTTGCTGATGATGTAGAAGGCCAACATGGTGTTCACCACCAATGGAACGATGAGGAATAAGACGCTTTATATTACGAAGTAGAAATGTATGATTATGAGTGGTCACGCGTGAAGAATATTTTCTATTATGACTGTTAACTGTGCGTGAAAGGAAGAATACCTCGGCAAGAACAGCTGTTGTATGTCTTTGGCATTATTAGAAACGAAGATGATCTCGAGAACAAAAGTACAAACGATCAGGCCAAGTTGAAGGATTGCAAGATTTTGAGCCTGTTGTGTTTTTTTTTCGGATTTCAAATTTTCGAATGAATCATCGCGAAAAAAAAAAAAATAAAAATAAAAAACTTGAGAAATGTTTGTCGAAAATGAATACATACGTCGCGCTGTCGTTTTTGGGCAATCAGGAAAAGTATGACGAATATCGTGATGGCCAGGAAGACGCCAATTAATTTGAGCCTGTACCTTTGCCATAGATCCTCTGAAGAACGAAAGCGGGAAACGATCAATTTTTCGCCAAATTTGATTTAGCAAGTCTGAAACACGAGGTACTCACGGGATGGCGTAAAACCATAATTCGAGTCTAGATCGTTTGTCACACCAGTGGACAAGTTGGTGATTTGTTTATTTTTGATCATAGTATCAAGATCGCTTATTATCCTTGGAACGCCTACGTCGTCATTACTTTGCGGTGTGTCTATGTTAATGGAAAGCAACACTTGCTGAGAGGAGGTACCGGGGTTAACGATCTGATACTTCTGACTTGAACTCAGTCGAGATAATCGGACCGGCACTTTATCTGAAATCTCCTGCAAGAGGTTGGTAAAGTAGTCTTCCCGTTGTGATGACGAAAGCCCTTGGAATGCTGTGGAGGCGGCCGGAGTGAGACGAAGGATACCAGCGGTGCCCGCTGTAAGAAAGGGGGGAAAGGATGATTAGTAAATATATGATCCCAACGCATAACTCTATACTCATTTAATACTGAACGGCAGCGTACTAGAAGAAGTCTTCGGAAAATTGTCTGGTTAATTCGAAAATAAAAAGGTTAGAAATTGCAGAAACGATCAAGGCACCTGAAATTAAAAGGATCAACATTACCTGTTGTGACCAACCAAACTCGACTTCTAATTCCCGTTAGAGGTTCCTGATAATCCCGACTCTTTACGAAATTATTATCCATTTCCACGTAATATTGTTTTCCAGGCTGATTAAAAGTGCTGCTAATCAACGGCACCGTGACAGTTAAACCGTCGGCGCTAACTTGACAATAACTACTTAACCCTGCAATTGTTTGTCGAAGATTTCCGCTGGTGGGGTTGACATTTTGGTAGATGGTTATGTTACCGACGGACAGGTCAACAGCATTATAGAAGGTGATGGTAATATTGGTGTCCGTCTGTGAGACAACAGCGTTTATGCTCGGGTTGGTGGTGTTGACCTGGAGATTGTTGTAACCGTGATCTGAATGGTGATCAAAAAAAGGTAAGTCGAGATACGATCATCCAACCCGAAGAATTAATCAACGATTATGAATTATACCTAGATTTCCGGCAACCTTGGGCAACTGGTCGGCGAACAAGGTCCAAGAGTTGATCGATTCCGGTAGTGCAAGTAAGAAAGTATTGTTGGTTTTTATGATGGTACTCATACCAAAAACATTTGAAACCATTGGCTGCGTTAGACCCGTATTAACTTGAACATCGTTTTCTCCATAAGCATAAAGGTAGTAATTAGTTGTGCTAAGCGTCAACGGTGTTATGGCATTCAGCGTGTAGCCACCAAAAGGCATTTCCGTTACACTCCATCCAGTAAAGCTCACATTAACGTTTGACAGAGTTAGATTTGATATTGATATCGGAGTGAATGACAACACTGACCCCGATGATAGGAAGAATATTTTCAAATAATAAGCGTCGGTGGTGTTTTGGACGGTTTGGGACACTGAAACTGTGCACACATGACCAACACCAACAAAGGCTATATCACAAAAAACGGTCCGAAATGTTAGATTGGGAATGGGTGTTTGATAGAGGATATACGAGTTGCCGGTGATATTTTGACCGTATGATAAAAAGAAAGCATACACTCCGCCGAGTGTATTGAATATGCCGGTGTTGTTGTTTCCGGTGGAAGCTGATGAGTTGGCGTACACTATGGCATACCCCTGATCAACGGTCGAGAATACGTTAACAGAGAAACTGGAGAAATTGGGCACCGTAAAAGAGTCTTGTGACAGCAAAGATAGCTGCCCTGAATTATCCCTATTTAAATAAATGGTTTGCCGTTAAAAAAATTAAAGTCATTTTGATAGTGAAAAAGAAAAGGTAGAAGAAGGAGACAAAGATTACATACACGACGTATTGCTGCCATATGGCGTTGGAAGTGGTTATGGTCGAAAATCTAAGAAAACCCATTGCCGGATTTATATTTAAGTTGATTGAGTAATTTGGACTCCAATGACCGTCCGGAGCCACGTAGGATTTACCATATTTCAATTTGCTAACAAATAAAAGAAATTGGTTATTATTAGAAAAAAAAAATTTTATAAAATAAAAATAAAAATTTTTTCTTTATAAGAAAAAAAAAAAAAACCATATCTAACCTATAAATATTACCGGACCAGTCTATCACCATTCCCCAATCCTCGTAAGTTTTAACATCGGAGGAATTCGTCATATTCACATAATTTACTAGGATGAAAGGACTTTGCAAGGGAAATACACTAATGGGATTCGTAGTAATTCCGAGGTCGCTAACAAATGCAAAGAAATTTACGGGATCTAGTCCCAAATTTGTATTATTTAGATTAATCTCCGTGACCGTTCCATTTAAGTCGATAATCCTGAGAAATAACGATTGTTCTAAACAGGCGCCCGATTCATTTAATAAAGCAGAAAATCGTTGTGCGCAGGTATTGTCAGGATTCCTTCGTATGAGATGGACAAGAACCGTCCCGTCTTCATAAGTTGCGAGCTTATTTATGCGAGGTATTGAGTTTGAAAATTCAGTGTGGCTGGGATTCTCTGTGTAGGTAAAGTTTTGTGGAGCAGATTCCGCGGGTACCACGAACAGGCAAAAGCATGTTAAAATCAAGCATGGTATAATAAAATTAAAAGAGTAGGGCAATTTCATCGCAGAAATTCGATCACTTTAACGAAGAAAAAAAAAAAAAAGCGGAATTTACGTCAGTGTGAGAAAAGAACGCCTATTTAAACATTATGCACGACGCTAAATTTGTCAAGGTATGAAACGCCAAGATAAAGAATTTTGCAACAGTCCCGATATTGTGAAATAAATATTAAGAGTATTTTTAGAATAAAGTACCAATCTGTACTTAATACTTTACTTTTTCAGGAAGAATTCTCGATCAATCGATTCTACCATCGTTTCCATAGATGGGGTGTCGTTTAGTTTCACATACGGACTTACGCATGTATTTATCTCTTTCCGTTTCATTGAGGAAGGAAATCATTGGTTCCAACGAAATAGCAATTTAGGAACATATATATACATGTTATCGAAAAAAAAAATGTAAATGATCCAAGTTGAGATCGATACTATTACGTGTTATGGTTACATGTGCAGCAAGGCGTAAAGTCATTATCCGGGAGGTGCGATTTTAGATAATTGTGTTCAGAAAAAAAGAATTTTACAACCCTTATTGCACTACATGCGTAACAGTATTCATAGGGATTCTATTTTTAATGGCCATTGTGATCACAGATGGATCATGTTTTTAAAACCGGATTCATCTGAATTATTGGAATTTGAATTTATCACCACAGTAATTGTGTTAATTGCATAAATTGAGAATTTTCCAAAAAGCAAATTATTCTTACTCTTATGCCCGAAATTTTATTCGATCCACTTGATTTGTTTTTAACTTAATTAAAGTGCATATTAATACATTTTCAATGATATGTAAATAATTTTGAATTATACGTTAGGTATTTTTTTTTATGGGGAGGGGGGGGGAGGATTCCACCGGATCAACTACGTATAGTAATTTTTGCTAAATTCTTGATGCTCCCATCACCGATATCTCATCGGATGCACCGTTAATCCGTGACATTTGCAACAAACCGCCATCGTACTGCTTCCCTTCGAATCTAGATGAAATTTAGCGCCAAAACCATGGAAAACCCAAAAACAAACCAGATTTCTGGAACCATCATTCTTTCGGTCCCGGATTTCTTGGAAGTTGGAGTTCTGGAAAAAAAAAAAAAAAAGAACGACTCGATTGGGACGATGATAAGGTTCTCACGAACAAACATGTTAAATGATTAAAACCTACACAGAAATAGTAACAGTTGGGGCAACTCGTTCCGGTTTCGCGAAGGAAATTTCCGGTGGTCTTGAATCGCTCGGAGTGTTCACGTTATTTCGCACCGGATTAATGGTCGTACTTCCTTTCGCGATCACACTCCCTCCACCACCACCCGTGTCCCTGCTACCCCCTTCGCCAATGGTTCTTCCTTGAACAATCTGAAATTCCCCAGAAAACCTTTCCCCACTTCCATCGTTGATGGCCAGGATGTAAGTTCCGGGAGAAACGTTCACCCTCCATTGGAGCCTACGAATCGACAGGTCGAGGGAATCGTTAATATTTGTAGACTCTCCCGTGTTCTTGTTCTGGATGCGGAGAGAACCAAGGAGCATCGGCGTGGGGCCAGAAAGTTCCCAACTGATAAGAATATTTGCTCCTTGAGCGATCTTTCCGATGGGTGTGTTGATGACCACGTCTAAGGTGCAAAGAAGAAATGTCTCATTATGTTAGCGTAAGAACCAAGAATTTTAATTGATGAAGAAAAATAGTGAATCGTGATTGCCTGAATTGACAAATACGACGAGTGCGAACAGCACGAAAAAAATTCTTGCGAGGTAGGTAAGTCGCACCATCATGGTAGAAATGTTGCGGACGGACGGGTTTCCTTGAGAAATGAATTTTCCTAATCAAATCACAAAAAAAAAAGAGTGTCGAACTCTCAACACTACCATAAAGAATGAATTGGAATCAAATGGTCCTTTGGAAACCGGTGGAAATAAATAATGAGGAAACAACATTTAGTTGTTAATATATGAAATTCGGTTTATTTAATAAAGTTTCGAGTGTTCAGAATAGATAAAAGACTGATAAAACATCATTTCGTAGCCTCCGTGAGCGTATTTCAAGATGATTAATCAAACTATTATTAAGTTTAATATTCCCGATCAGATACGTAATCACCCGAGTTTGGATTCGAGCAAAAAAAATATATCCCAATGTTTAAGAAATTTTGAACTTATCACATGGTCATACAACTCAATTGCTCATTATATGAGTAGACTTTATAAAGAGGACAAAGAAATATGAAATAATAAAATTTTCCTCTAACAATGCCGCCAATCCATAACAACGAATCCAACGATGAATGTGCTGAATGTGCACTAAAGAATTTCTTCGTGCTTGAAATGACCACCCCGAATGGTCTCCTTAAATCTTGGCGAATGCAAGATGCAAATCGCGAGATTTGCAAATGAATTTTCTTTTTTAAAAAATGAAGAATCGTAACTCCTGCCACTAATGCACCGCCATCAAACAATTTCATTTCATAAAATATAACCTTATATTATTATTTTTTTGTTTTGTTTTGTTTAGATTTTTATTGTTATTATTTTTTTTTTTGTTTCTCGTTATTCTAGTTTGTAAAACTTTTTTCGCTCCGCAGCGGCCATCTATTCATCATCGAGGAAGGTATGTAAATCCGTCCTTATCATCCTCTACCCTGCAACTTCAATGTAATGTGAACAATATTACGCAATTCATATTGCGTGCATTCATTGCTTTGCGGCACACCTAACTAGAATGCTGGCTGATGTTGTATCTAGTTTACGAATGTGACTGACGATATTATTTAAACAGTGTCATCTGGTAAGTAAAATATCTACAGTATATCTATGTCGACCAGTTTGAACGCAAACAAGGAATACATATTTCACGAGCGAATATTCTAACTAATTGAAATTACGTTTTCTATCCAGATCACTGTCAAACGTTGTAAACGGTGTACAGCCGAGGGAAATCAAAGGACGAAAGTACTACTTACTGTATATATATGTGCGAACATTTGCTGATGAACTGGTTCGTAAAACTAATGCCGTGTGAAATTGATAAAAGGAAACTACTAAAGTGATTTTAGAGGATATGTGAATAAAAAGGAATTATAATATTAATTAAATAAGGAGCGATATTAGTATAAACGCCTTTACATTCTTCATATTCTTTATCAATTCTCTATTTGCTTGATTTTCCTAAGACTAGATTTATTAAGAATGGCATCCTGATCCCAGGCTTCATCTCCAATTTCAATTTTGATCACGTACACCTTATACCCAACATCATTCTCTTCCACCTCCCCTTCGATTATCGAAAATGTGATATCTGTAAACGAAGATTTAATATGCTCCTCGATATCTTTACCAAACAATTCTATGATCTTATATCCGTTGTATCTGAATGGTTCAAATAGCCTCTTGAAATTTCCCTCGGGGGGAACTGTTACAAAATTTTTTTTGCTGGCACCTATGGGCGCAAACTCCGCACCAAAAATACTGTGGAAATCATATCTTGCTTCACAGATGCCATCCTTCAAAGCCTCCACGAATTTATCCAGCAATTCGGCGTGATATTGGTCGGTCGGAATGTCTCGACGTGGCAACGGAATCTGGAAGTACTTTATCTCTTCGATTAATTCCTGGTGAGTTATGTCTAACGATGAATTCTTTGATCCCATTATCTCGTCTAATAACAAGATCTTTCCGGTACGATAAAATTCTATGATATAATGAAAAGCCCGACTGTTCCGATCAAAGAAATACTCGTTGCCGTTGGTCGGGTGAATCAATTCTCGATTCCTCTCATGAAACATTGCCCCAAGCAATGTGCCCGGGTAGGCTGTCAGCGTTGAGCGATAAGTTTCATACTATAATAAAAAATTTCAAGTTAATAGAAAGACTCAAGTCCTCGGACGCAAGCGCATTTTTTTTTCCCTTCACATCATTGCTGGACATATAACCGGTCGTTTGATCACTCAAATTCCAATCCTTCTGATTGTTACTTTATAATCTTCGAAACAAATCTTTATTACCTTCACCCCGCCAACGTTTAAAACTATCCGTTCTTCTGACATCTTTTATGAGCTCAAATGAAGTGAATGAACAATGGATTTTCACGGGTTGCACAACTCTGTATATGTCATTCGACTTAAAAACCGGTTTTTGAACAGATCGTCGGGTTTGATGGTCGTCAAAAGACCGGTTTAATTATACGCGGCTAAAAGAAATCTGTTTTAAATTGCGATATACTGTATCTCATTAACTAACGCATGCATGTACTTTAATAAGTATCCGTCTTTTCATACATTTGGAATAAAACCTAATAATAGTTAATTGAATGACGACCTTTTATTTTTAATTATTTGGATATATTTATTTCACGTAAATTTTTATAACCGTAAATTTGTAAAACAAAAGTTGACCTCGATTTTTTCTGCTTATTTATAAGATTTTTGTTTATGAAGTGGTATGATGGTTCTTTCAATTATTTTATTTTAATCTTTGAAAATAATTTTTTTTTTTGTCAATTCAAATATCAAAAAAAAAAAATTGTCAACTATTTTTTTTTTTTTTTTTTTTTTTTTTTTTTTTTTTTTTAACCTGCCATCATGCCACAATGGTGTGTCTTTATTGAAAAATTGAAAATAAATTTACAATATTTTACAGACTTTCACAAAGTGACTAACTCGTCTTCATAC